TCAGTCCTGCCCCTCTCCACACCCCCCATCCCCCCAGAACAGCTCTCTAATTCTCTACTCCAGCTCCCTTTGACCACACAGGGCCCATCATTGCATGGCCCATCCTTTATAACTATCTACACACATACACCCCAAATGTCCTCATTCTCCTCCTCGCACAGCTTTCAAGCTTTGCACTGCTCCCTCACACCCCTGACTTATACACCTGATTACGCCTCCGGTTTGCTTAACCAGACTCTGTCTGCTTGGAACCCAACATCTCACTTTAAGTTCACAACAAACTCCGGTGGGGATGTATCACTACCCAGCAATCCTGCCCTACTTCCCCAGGACATTTTTTTCTCTTTCCCCAAGAGAAATATTTTAAAACACCTTCTCATTTCTAACATACCACACATTTCTGTCCCTTGGTCACTGCTAATGATTTTGACTCATTCCTGAATGGGGGGCGGGGGGAGGAGGAACACGTCAGGAATAGATGAAACCAACCTCATCTTCCTACCACCAAAGCCGCTCTATGCCCATTAACTCTCTGTTCTCTCCTGACACAAGGGAAGACGCGTCCCTGCTCCTGCCTGGGACCCATCCTCCCATGTTTCTCCTGGATCTCATCCTTGCTCAAGGAACTTGCTCCTACAATTTTTCTTTTTCTCGTCTATTATCAATCGCCCTTTCTTAACTGGAGTGCTCCCTTTGGCTGATGTACATGTTTCAGTATCACTCATCTAAATAGAGAAAAACAAAAAAACTATCTTTCCCTCCCACGCTGCCCTCCGGCTACTTTGCATTTCTCTGCCGTCTGTCACAGCCAGACTCCTCCAAGTTGCCTATGCTCACATCTCTACCTTTTTTTACCCTCCATTCTTTTCTCAGTCTAATTTCTGAGTTGCATCCCCCCGCTCCACCCCTCCATGAAACACTCCAGTTTTCATCAAGGTCTCACAACTACTGGCCAGTTCTCTATTCCCATGTGACCCCATCAGCTCGCAGCCTTTAACCCAGTCGGCCACTTCCTTTTTAAACTCTCTTTCTCCCTCGATGTCCCCGATACCAGTCCCCGTTTTCCCTCTCACCTCCCTGGCCACTCTTTCTCTGTCTCATTTGGTGGCTCCTTCTTCCCTGTTCAGCCTCTAAATATTGGAGAACTATGGGCCTGTTCTTGGCCCTCTTCTCCTCCCTATCTACACTTTCTCCCCATGTCATCTCGCCCAGGTCCGTCACTGTGAATAATACCTGGATAGTGGTAACTTCAAAATCTGCAGCTGCAACACTGATCTTCCTACTAAGCGCCAGACCCAGAAATCCACTGTCTCCACAGCATCTCAAATTTAACTAATGACAGAGAGAGGGAGAGAGAGAGAGAAATATCGATGTGAGAGGGACACATCTATTGGTTGTCTCCCACACTCATCCCAACCGGGCGGCAGGGATGAACCTGCAACCCAGGTACGTGCCCTTTGACCAGGACGTAAGTCCGCAGGCAGATGCTCTAACCCAGCGGTTCTCAACCTGTGGGTCGCGACCCCTCTGGCAGTCGAATGACCCTATCACAGGGGTCGCCGAAGACCATCCTGCATATCAGATATTTACATTACGATTATAACAGTAGCAACATTATAGTTATGAAGTAGCAACAAAAATGATTTTATGGTTGGGTCCCAACATGAGGAACTGTATTTAAAGGGCCAGAAGGTTGAGAACCACTGCTCTAACCAATGAACAAAACGGGCCTGATTGCGTTTTGAATGCCCGAGAGCACATAGCACAGGGTAATCTCTGTAGATATTTAATTTCTATTTCAGTCAGTAGACGGGTGAGAGGGAAGAAGGGAGTGAGAACAAGCAAATTAGAATTCCAGCCCTTCTCCGAGCTTCACTGTCCTCACTCCTGCGATGGGGTGATCATTCCTCTTCGTTGGTGCTAACACTGGGCACGTAGCACAGTTTCGGTATTGATCCCATCATCAAGCTCCAACGCACCTCGCTCCCGCCAGCACATGGTGTGTGCACAATACACGTGTGTGAATGAGCGAAGGCATGACTATGCCCTGACCACCTCGAGGGGCTGTTCGGAAACGTGGCTGGTTGTTCCTACCTGTGTCCATCTC